CTAGCAGAAGGATCGTTTGTTTATGTGCCACCCTTCCTTTGCTTTCTACACTGTGGACAGTGTTAGGTTGGGAATTCGCTCACTTCCTGGCTGTTCCACGTGATCTCACGGCTCCTTTGCCCTACATAAGACCCACAATGTCCTTTGTTAATTGCAAAGATTGGAAAACCCAGTCATTCTTAAACAGCTGCAGAATAGCCAGTGAGGCTGCGTTTTGCCAATACAGCTTGAACCTCTCTCATCCGGCACCCTCGGAACCTGACCGATTCCGAACGAGAGAATGTTCTGGTCCACAGAAATCCATAGTGTCTAGCAGCATTGCCAGCACTTCCACTGCTCACTGGGCTCTTAGAGGACATCGAGGAGTAAATTAGGGCTAAATAACAGCACAGAACACTGAGAGCCAGGACTTGTGGCTGTAAACAAACTTTATGGGACCGCGGGAAACTTGGCCACACCCATGAAAAGTGAACATCCAGCTCACTAAAATCATACTGGATGGCGGATGTTTCTGGACCAGAGTGTTCTGGATTAGAGAAGTGCAACCTGTACAAGACAGGTTTCCAGTCTCAGCAAAGTGTACACCTTTCCAGCAAACAAAGACATTTTTGTTTGACGACTGACGGGTAAAAGGTTCTCCACCCACTAACGCCAGGATTATCCGTGTGTATCTTTGGCCTATGCTTTTGGGCCACGAGGGGTAGTGTGTTGCACCGGGAATCCCAAGTGTCGTGGTTTATAAAATACAGTGGCCTGCTGGTAATGGAGACAGCAAGAAAAGTAGGTTCCCACAAGCGCTTATTATTTTATCAGAGCGGGTGCCCTTGTGCTTGCTGCGAGTGCTGGCTGCAATGCTCTGTTCCTTTGATAAGGCCGGGGAGCCGGGCCACTGTCCTGCAAGGCCACAGCTCTGCTGGGGATCGGGTTTGCTCCAGGCGTTCGGCCCTCCCGGCGCATGAGCCCTGCGGAATTCTCTGGGGGTTTACGTGAACGTGCTCGGAATGCCGCCAGGTTGCACCATGAACAAACAGCAGGGAAATTGTGCCTGGAAGCTGCCCCCTCCCGGAGCAGAACGGGGTATGGAACAGCCCTCCGTGTTCTGCTCCCTACTGCTCTGGGGACAGGAGGTGGCAAGCAATGGAACTGTGGGCGGCTACGTTCCTGCACCAGCTACGGGACTGGCAGGGGTGAGCAACCCCGCACCCCAGCTAGGCAAGGAGCAGATTAAACCCTCTCTTCACACAGGCCATTGGCTCAGGCTACATGCGGGGCCAGGGAAAGACCCCGGCACCCTGCGGGTTCTGGGAAATGAGTGATGGTGACCAGACAGCAGGAGCGCAGTGGGCATGGGCCCCCCCTTTCTCCCCTCTTGGGGCAGAGGGGTGCACTGTTGCTGCTCATGCTGCACCCATCCAGCCACAAGACCACGTCAACCTCCGGGGCCAGCCAAGCGTAACAGTGAAAGCCCACAAGCCTGATGCTGGCAAACGTGATCCCTCCCCTTGGCCTTGGTGGGTTTGTCGCTGCAGCAAGCTGCCGCTACTGGCATCTGCCCTGGACCCACAGGCTGCTGCTGGAATTCTCCTCCCCGCGCTGCTGAGCACTGCAGGGAAATCAGAGGGGCTGTAATTTTTAAAAAAGCCGGAAAAGAGCGTCTAGACTGGCCCCGATCCTCCGGAAAAAGTGCCCTTTTCCGGAGGCTCTTATTCTTACTTCAAAGTATAAGAGCCTCCGGAAAAGGGCACTTTTTCCGGAGGATCGGGGCCAGTCTAGACGCTCTTTTCCGGCTTTTTTAAAAGCCGGAAAAAAGCGGCGGACATTTTTATTTAAATGCCGCGGGGGATATTTAAATCCCCCGCAGATTTCCCTACGACGACTAGTGAAATTTACATGCCCCTTCCGGAAAAGGGGCCAGTGTAGACGTAGCCACTCAGAGGCATTTCCCAAACCCCGTGGCGGACAGGCTGGGGAATGGGCATCTGCCCCAGCACATCGGCTAGCTGCATCCGTGCACCAAGGACGAGTCCAGTGGGCACTTGCCTCTCCCTGTGGACGCTGGCCCAATAGAGCACTAGCCGCTCTCCTGCAGCAATAGCAAAATGTTCGCCCAGTCCGGGAGAGTCAAGTTGTTCCCCGCGTCACCCCATAAAGCTGCCTGATCCCAGCCCAGGCCTTATCTCCCGCCCCAGACAGGGCTTGCAGGGATGCAGGGACAAACCGGCTTCTGCTTGCCTGTGTCTTCCGCAAATGACAGGCAGGCCTAAATGTGGCGGTGGGGTTGTGAAGTGCTGCAGAAAACAGGGTCGTGAGAGCCCTTTGTACGTAGGGTGCCCCAGAGCAGTGCCCCCTGTAAGGAGAGAAATGCAGCCCAGCTGATTAGCACAGCACCCACAACATGTGTTTCTCCTGGTGGTGCACATCCACACATGAGTTGGTGCACATAAAATTTATTCTGCACATGGATGAAAAAACATGAGAGGGAGTATTGCTCCAGAGGGCTTTGTAAGGCAGGTGGATACTTGGGCTGGTCCGTGGTCACTCACCGCTCATCCCCTCCCTTGCTTCGCTGAACTTGCTTTACTCGGTGGCAGGGTCCCACTTCATTTCCAATGAACCAGAATGCACCCAACTTCTGAGAGTCTGCAAATGGGTGAGCCAAGGAGCACGCCCCGGGGGCTGCCCAGCTCCCTGTAGGTACACAGGGGACGTGGGTGCTGTGCGGAGCGACCAGCCATCGTGGCGTAGCAGCATTGGCCAGTGATGGCCTCAAGCGAGCTCGGGGGCAGGGAAAATTCTCCGATTTCTGCTGAGACGGTCTGTGATTTTCCTCTCTGGGAGCAGCCAGGCCGCAGTGCCTGCAGGTTTGGCAGAGAGGGCAAGCTTCTTAAAGACCGCCGTTTCCACTTCACCGAGACAGAGCTGGTGGCTGTGTCTCTGGGCCACGCCACTCCCTTCGCCTCCTTGCCAAGCGAACACCAGACCTCCCCGCCCCCGCCAAAAAAAAAAAAAAGCCCACGCACGAGTGCCTGCCCGTGTCTGCCCTACCTCGGCAGGAAGGAAATCCAAAGCGAGGCATGTCTAGTCAACAATTAAGCCTAACTGGTGTGAACCCAACAGTGAGGTGAAGAAACTGGGCACATAACAGACAGGAAATTCCAGATGGCGAGGTTTTACCCACTCCGTTAACATGGCTCCCTTGCACCCCCCGGGTTAGCTCTCAGTAAAGAGTCTGTAAATACCAGCAGCGATTGCATTTGAGGGGGGGAGAGAGAGAGAAGAGGGGAATTGGTTAGTAAATAAAAATACAGGAGGTGTAGCCAAGATAACCTTCTGCGTGGAACAGGAAGGCTGGTGGCTCAGGGTACATCTCTACAGCAGAAAAACAAGTCTCAGAGCCAAGCTCTCAGGACTAGAAACAGCAGTGTAGATAGCCAGGCGCGGGCCTGGCTTGAGACCTTCCCCTGTCACTGGGATTCAGAGCCCAGGTGCCTGTCGGCGTGGGAACAGCTACATGGCTGTTTTCAACCCTGGTGCATGAGCTCAAGTCTGCTGTATAGGCTGAGACTTGCTGTCGTCTGGGTTTGTTTTGCTGTGTAGACAGACATACCCTCCGCGGTAGCTGAGCAGGAGGCGGAAGTTAGGAAGGCAAACGTGGCTTTAACTCATGCAGAAACGGGGAAATGCAGGGGACAGCTCTAAATGACCTAGGCTACCCCTGGCCCCAAAGGAGACAGCCCCACCAGTGCCTAAGTGCAGGAGCAATGTTCCTTCTAATCTTTTCTATCCATGTGCGGAATAAATTTGTGTGCACCAAGGCAGGTACACCACCAGTTGAAACAAAAAAAAACTAGTTGTAGGCACTCTACTGATCTCTTTTGTGTGGCTACCCAAGCACCCAGTTGACAGGGGACACTGTGCAGGAGTCATCTGATCATGCCATTGACATACCATCTGTGAGCGATCCTAGTCACACGGTAACTAAACTTTCTAATGGGGGCTGATGTCAAGAACTCCGCCATTGTGCCTGGTAGGAGGTGCACAAGGGAGGTACTAATGGCCAGTGATGCTAAATGCAGTCACCAGGTAGCAGATATGGGGAGGGGTCCAACAGGTGGTGCTGGAACTGGAAACACCAAGGAAATCTCAGCAGAGGACGCTGATGTGAGTCAAGCAGCAGCGTGGGCTAGTAAACGGGACGCTGGACTAGCCGTCAGGAGACGTAGGTTCTGTTTCAGCCACTGACTGACGCTATGACTTGAGCACAGGTTGTATCTCTATGCTCAGCACTGAGCACAGCTGTGCCTAAAGATTCCAGCTCCACCGTAAAATAACTGTTTGCTTGGGAAAGGGGGAAACGAGACTATTCCAGGCAAAGGACTGAGTTCTCTGCCCAAAGGTCCACTCGGCAAACCCTGTTCTTTTCCCGCGCATGGAGGCTTCTCCTGCAATGTCGGAGTATTCCATTAGGCACACAAACTTCCGCCGAGCCCCGTGACTGATTACCTAGTCAGCATTCGAACGCAGCTCTCCAGAGACGATAGCGCAAGTCGACTCTGTAGCCAGCTCACAAGGCAAGTTCCCTGGAGAATGAGTTCGTAACAAGCAATGTGCTTATTTCGAGGGCACGTCGACAGAGCAGGGCTAATGCCGAGATAAGCGATGCAACTTGAGCTACGTTAATTGCGTAGCTGAAGTCAAAATAGCTTATTTTGGCTTTTGGCGCTGTCTACGCAGCAGGAAGTCTGAGGAAGAGCACTCGCCCTCCGACTTCCCTTAATCCTCAGACAATGAGGGTTACAGAGCCCGCGGAAGAAGCCCTCCAGCTCACCATTATTTTAACATTATGTCAAAATAACTGTTTGTAGTGTAGACACGGACTATGCTATTTCAGAACAACAACAGTTATCCTGAAATAACGCTGCTGTGTAGACATAGCCGAAGAGTCCCACTTGCACGTCAGTCACCTCTCACAGAGGAAGAAAACACTAGGCACCAGAACACATATTTGAAAACGGAAGCAGATTCTTCATTTACTGCAAGCTCACACATCCGAACTGTACATTCAGGGAGTTTTACAAACTATGGTTCAAGTAGATCATGGTCCTTTACACCAAGGGTCCTTCCTCCTTCCAGCCGCCTCCCTTCCTCCTTCCAGCCGCCTCCTTTCCAACATCTAGCAGAGTAAATGGGGTCAAATGACAAAGGATATCAGCAGATGTGTATACAGGCCATCTTCTCAGTGAAGCCATGTTAGCGCTCCTGCCAACACAGACAGCGGAAAGGGAAAAGAGTTATACAGGGCTGCCCTCTGCTGGTTAGACCTTAAAAGAAAGCTAGCAACCTCACATCTAGTCCAGTGTTTCTCAACCAGGGGTAGGAGTACCCTTTGGGGTACTTGAGACAAGTCTGGGTGGTACGTCAACACAAGTGAAAATCGAAGAAAACTGAATTTTTGTTTTAAGTTTTTACAGTGCTTTATTATTTTTGTACTGTTTACACCCAAAAATGTCATCCCCCGCCCGGCTACGATTAAGTTGTTTAAACAAATGTGTTGCAATGGTAGAAAAAAAAATTGTGTATCTGAAAACTCCGGGGGTACTTATAATTTTTTTAAAGGGGTACTTTATATAAAAAAAAAGGTTGAGAAACACTGATCTAGTCAATGTCAAAATAGGAACAGAAAAGAAACTCTCTCTCCCCTCCCCCATGTCAGTGCATATGGTTTCACAACTAGTATTTCCATTTTAAAGACTTCTGCCTTGTTCCTGTGTGTAATATCTTCAAGGAGTGACTGGCTGTACAAGCAGCATTGTGTCAGATGTAAAGTGAACTGCCTGAAAGTAGAGGAAAATATTTACTGTCCTCTAAATCGCTAGCTACTCTTATCTACAAGGTTCCCTGAGACTTGTAACAAGAGAAGACAAAGGATTTTCTAAGAGTGATGTTCAAGTCGACAGCGTCCATTAAAACAGCAACAAGTAGAAGGTGCATGATCCAACACTATTCTCTACACTCTGCCTTCAATTATCAGAGCGCTACACTAAAGATAAGGGTCAGATTTTCAGAGGGGAAGGGCACTGACTTAAGTAGGATGGGTCAGTGCTTGGCAATCCTGAAAATTTAACCCTAAGCAAAGCATCCTCCAGGGTGGACTGATTTAAACGAAGACAATTTAAATCATAGTTTAAATCACCAACTGGAAAGCCTCAATTTAAATAATCAGTTTTAATCAACTTCTCCATTTGTACGTCAGGTGCATTGTCATTGGGTGATATAACCACTAATACATGTTGATTTACAACTACATAGAGCCTTTTCAATAGATAACCTAGGAAGGCATGATACAGTTATATACATTTTCAGATTCTTCTTAGTTTACATTTTTAGCATGTTAGAAAATGGAGAATGGCAGGCAGAGTCATAAATATTGGCTAATTTTTCAAATTATGAATCAGAGCTCAAGTAGAGAGAAGCTACTAAATAGTAGCATGAAAGGGAAACTGAGTCACGGAGACTCAGCAACTTGCCCAAGATCATGCAGTGAGACTCACCTATGGAACAGTAAACTCAGGAGTCATTGGTTTTACACTCTATCCTGCTTGTGGAATAGTTCTTCAGTGTTTTAGGTTTAAAAATTGAATCTGAGATTTCATTTTTTTTACACTTCTGTCATTTTCTAAAACTAGGATCTTTCTTCAAACATTTTAGAAGAATCCAGGCCTTGTTTATATTAGCAAAGTTGCACTGATTTAAATCACTTGAATTAAACCCATCTAGTTCAGATGATGCAAATCCCTAACGTAGACACATTTAAACCTGCTTCATCCTCATTTCAACTGTTTTCTCTTAATTCAGGATTCACAGACACAAACTGGTTTAAATGTGTCTACTTTAGGGAGCTGCACTGCTTGAACTAAACAGACCTTATATCTGCTAGTTCAGTTGGTTTTCTCTCCGTTAAAAGCCTTGGAGAGCATTTGAGAGGCAGTGATGGCTTCTTGGATATTTGCCCACTAGGAACCGGACTGACACCCACAATTTTCCTTCACAGTGTCCATCCAATCCCTATCTGCACTCTCACATATTCAAGCTCTCAATTAGATTAAAAAACTGATTTGAAGTTGTAGCCTCATTAATTAATGAGCAATCCCTTGAGCCATCCTCTCTCTGGGTCTGCGTTCTGCTCCCTGTTGGCACCCCAGAGACTCTGGGACACTTGTTGGCCAGGTTGTTTTGCACGGTTCAGGGGCTGTTTTCATCAGTGGTACTTTCCTGCAGAGCGTAGATTCATGGGACTGGTGCTAGCCTGTGGTTCTTCATTTAGTTTAGAAAAGGGAAGACAGAGGGGACATGACAACAGATTTCAAGTACCTAAAAGGATGTTACAAGGAGGAGGGAGAAAAATTATTCTCCTTGGCCTCTGAGGTTAGGATGAGAAGCAATGGACTTAAATTGCAGCAAGGGAGGTTTAGGTTGGTCATTAGGAAAAACATCCTAGCTGTCAGGGTGGTTAAACACTGGAATAAATTGCCTACGGAGGTTGTGGAATCTCCATCGCAGGAGATATGTAAGAGCGGGTTGGAGAGATATCTATCAGGGATGGTCTTTCTAGACGGTGCCTGGTCCTGCCGTGATGGCAGGGGACTGGACTTGATGCCCTACCAAGGTCCCTTCCAGTTCTAGTGTTCTAGGATTCTATGAACATGGTAGAGGGAAGCAGACATGTTTCCAAATGCAAAATCTGTGCCAGGTTCCCCCAAGAAGCAGCAACAGCCCTGTGACATTCCTGACCTCGACCTCACAAACACACTGCGGTAGGCACATCGGCTCTGCCAGAGGCAGGCGTCCGGCAATGCCTCCTCCTCAGCTAGAGTACAGACCATGTCCTAGATGGGGCAAGCGACTGCAGCCTTTGGCTCTGGAGAATTCTTAGTGCAGCTGCCCCATGACAAGGAGGGCAAGGGAGCAGGATGTGATGGTGGGTTTAGCGCCCATGCCCCAATACAGCACAGTCTAAACCTTCCTCGCATCCCCAACTCGGCACTCGCATGGTCGCTCCACCTCCCTGGCATCCCTGTGCAGCTCCTCACACTGGAAGATGCCCCAACCCAGCTGCCACTGCTCTGTGGACGCTGCCCTCCCCCACCATCCCGTCACGTGGGACCCTGGGCAGAGCGGGTGAGTAAGGAGAGCCCTTGGCAGCTGACTAACCTCCTCGGCGGTGCGGAGAAAGCCTGACCCACAAGCCTGTTGGCTCTGGGGTTATTTCTCCCCCAGGTAGGAGGCGCTCTTCCCGGTTTTCTTCAGTGTCTCCAGCAAGGTGTCGACGCTGTGCTCCGAGTCGATGCACACCTTCTTGTTGGGCAGGTCGATTTCAAACTGAACACCTGGGGGAGGGGAAAGGACACCCCTCCCGTGAGAGAGGAACCAGGCAGCCTCCAACTGGAGCACCCACCACCACCCGAGTCTGCCTCCTCATGCAGCTCACTCGCCCTTTGGACCTCACAGCAACATCAGGAGAGTCCTGCCGCCTTCGACTGCATTTCTTTAGCACCTTTCCTCAGAGCGCTTTGTGGGGCTTCTTCCCCACAACCCCAGCCGCTCTTCTTATCCCTCTTCCACAGCTGAGGGGACAGAGGCCTGGGGACCTCGTGTCATGTTCTCCAGGGTCGAACACTAGGTCAAGAGCTTCTCAGCCCAGACGGCCTCATCCCTTTGATTTAAAGAGGCCCTTCTTAAAAGTGTGACGGGCCAGGAGAGTGCTGAAAAGCCAGTGAAGGGTGCAGGGACTGAGCGGAGAGACAGGAATTTAGGTTCCAATGGCCCCCAGAGCAAATTTCCTCTTTGTCTGGTGAGGTCTTAAAACACAGGCCCAGGGCACACAGGTAACTCGCACAAACTGCCCCCCTCCCCCGGATACATGGAGCACGTGGCAGAGAGGGTGGTCAAAGGCTATTCTGAGAGCACGTGCTTTGTGCGCCTCCTGCTGGCGTGGCAGCGCATTACCACCACCAGGCAAAGATATCAGTGTGAGCGATCATCTCCCCAGCTCACCCGCGGCCTCCCTTCCCTCCAAAGAGCAGCACTGTCCCAGGCCTCCAAAGCCGCAGCCAGTGACTCCAGCGAGAGGCTACTCAGCAGAGTTGGATTGATCACTGCCAGCCGGCTGGTAAATGTTTTATCCCTGCTCTTTGCCAGATGCAGCAGAGCGAGGGAGGCGGAGGCATCCGTGTGAAACCAGAACTGGCGCGAGCCACCGGCTCTGGGTGCATTTGCATTCATTCGGAGTGCGCTGGGGTTTCTTTGCTCTGCCAGTTATTGTTCCCCCTGCCATGTTGCTAGGGAGCAGCCATCTGGCCAGCTGGGAACCCCGGCCCGGCTTTCTTGGTAAATACAGCAGCTTCAGTATTGGATTTCATTTTTAACGTCTCTAATAAATAAAAGTTCGGTCCCAGCTTGCCAATTGGCGTGCCGGGCATTTCCCTGGGGGTCTTAGCTTTTCAGCTAATGCCCAGGCTGGCCCCCTCGAAGCCAAGCTGAACAAAGGTGGGCTTTCCCTCGAGAGTCATTCCTCTAATGAGCCGAGACCCCCTATTCAGCCTGACAACTTCGCCACGCCAGACCAACCCCGCTCCTTTATAACACGCACCGGCCTGGGCTTTATTGTTTGGAAAAGGTGCTAAAAGCACAGAGACTGGAAAGTGCAGACGCCTTGATCAGTGGCTGGGATGGGTAGCCTGTTTCTCCATAGCCATTGCAGTGACTGGCTCGCTGAGCGTGGTAGGGTGGCTGTTCTGAAGCTGGTAATATCCTTCCCAAGGGTCTCATGCCAGATATCCCTACGCCTATCCCGATGCTCTCACCATAGATACCCCAACGGTCTCACTCCAATATATCCCTACACCTGCCCCACAGTCTCACACCAGATATCCCTACGCCTACCTCACAGCCTCACACCAATATATCCCTACATCTATCCTTCTGTCTCACCTCAATATATCCCTACACCTATCCTGCAGTCTCACCACAGATACCCCTACGCCTATTCTGAGGTCTCACCCCAGATATTCCTATGCCTACCCCACAGTCTCACACCAATATATCCCTACGCCTACCCCACACTCTCACCCTAGATATCCCTATGCCTATCCCGATGGTCTCACCCCAGATATCCCTACACCTATCCTTCTGTTTCACCTCAATATATCCCTACACCTATCCTGCAGTCTCACCACAGATACCCCTACGCCTATTCTGCGATCTCACCCCAGATATCCCTACGCCTACCCCACAGTCTCACACCAATATATCCCTACGCCTATCCCATCAGTCTCACCCTAGATACCCCTACGCCTATCCTGATGGTCTCACCGCAGACATCCCTACACCTATCCTTCTGTGTCTCCTCAATATATCCCTACACCTATTCTGAGGTCTCACTCCAGATATCCCTATGGTCTCACCCCAAATACCCCTACACCTCCCATAGCAGCAGCGCACAGGGAGAAGTATTCTACATGCACTAGGCCCTCTGCACCTTCTGCTCCCAGGGCCTGGTCCAAAGTCCAGCGGAGCCAGTGGAAAGGCTCCCAGTGATGTCAGTGGGATTCGGAGGAGGCCTTGCAGCGGAAGGAGATAGGAACTGCTGCCGTCTGGTGACAGAATTTCCTGTAGTCACAAGATCGCTCTGAGCCCGTTCCCCGCCCCCCAGCAAAGGTCACAGATCCCAGTCAGACATCTTGCTGCTGCAGATCAATAATCAGCTACTGACTAACTAGCTGCAGCAGGGGCTCCGACAGGGGCAGGGTGGGTGGCTTTCAAGGAATGGCTTGACCCCCCAGCTCACCTGCAGGGGGTGGGCAGGACTAAGTTTGGAACAGACAACTCGCCAGCCCCCAACTGCTGCTCTGCAGCGTGGTTGAGCAACGCAGAGCTAGCTGGCAGGGGAATCTGCAGGGTCAGCCAAAGTCCCTGCTGCTGCTTCTCTTTGCCAGGAACATTTAGGTGTAGGGATATCTGGGGTGCGACCGTCAGAACAGGCGGAGGGATATCTGGGGTGAGCCCCTCGAGACAGGCGTAGGGATATCTGGAGGGAGGCAAATGCTCCGACACCAGGCCTGAGAGTGCCCAGGAGTCTCCAAAGGGGCTCGGAAACGGCCAGAACATAAGAACGGCCATACTGGGTCAGACCAAAGGTCCATCTAGCCCAGTAGCCTGTCTGCCGACAGTGGCCAGCACCAGGTGCCCCAGAGAGGGTGGACCGAAGACAATGATCAAGCGATTTGTCTCCTGCCATCCCTCTCCAGCCTCTGACAAACAGAGGCCAGGGACACCATTTTATCCCCTGGCTAATAGCCTTTTACGGACCTAACCTCCATGAAATTATCTAGCTTCTCTTTAAACTCTGTTATAGTCCCAGCCTTCACAGCCTCCTCTGGCAAGGAGTTCCACAGATTGAAGGGGCAGAGCAGAGTGCATTTTATAGCGGACTGGGCCTGTGTTTTAAATGTCACTGCACCTCAGCCGAAGAGGCCCAGGGAGGAGCTGCACAACCCGCGGCGGGGGCTCTGTCCTCGCTGCCTCCCACGGGCACAGCGTTCATGCCACTCTGTGACCCTGCCTGAGGCCCCTTCTCCTTGCTGCCTGGTGCAGCTGCTTTGCTCAGGCGAGTTTCTCTCCGGAAGATCACCTGGCAGGCCGATCAGCGCTGGGCCAGAGGTGCCAGCCCTGAGAGGTGTTGGTAGGGTAGCAGCAAGAGGTGCCCAGAATCAGCCCTGAAATAGCGCCACATGGTGAAAAGCAAACCGAGCGCTAGGAACAAGAGCAGGTGGCGGGTCTGGCAGCGAGAGGAACAGGTGAAGGCTCGAAGAGAGGACCCAGTTCTTCAGGGAAGTCATTTATATAGGTTGAACCTCTTTCAACCAGGACTCCCTGGTCTGGCAGGACCCTGGCTGTTACTGCACCAGAGAGACCTGGTGGAAGGCCAGAGGCAGGATCCCTGTGGGGGTCAGGAACCCAGCCAGGCTGGCTCCAAGGAGGACAGCTGCTGGGAGCCCTGCTACGGGAGTCTGGCTGAGCCAGTGGCAGGGCGGCCGGAATTCCAGCAGGCTCTGGCAGGACAGTGGTCTGCTGTGGTGGGGCCAGGAGCGGCTTGGGTAGGGCTGGCAGGGCAGTCTTCCATGGGTGGGGGATGGGAAAAGGAAGGGGCAGGAGTCGTCCCGGCACCAGGACTGCAGGCTGGCGGGACTGGTGCTGCCAGGGCTGAGCGCACCGGCGGCAGGGCAGTGGTCTGCTGTGGCAAAGCTGAGAGCCCCAGCGGCAGGACCGTGGGCTGCTGTGGCAGGGCAACAGGGATGCTCGCATGTGGGAAGCCTGCCGGGAGGCAAGGCCCAGAGCCGGGCTGGGGGGCCGAAATGACCTCCCCGGTCCGGCAAAATCCCTCCTTCAGGACCACTCAGGTCCCAAGAGTGCCGGACCAGGGAGGTCCAACCTGTAATACGTGGGGTGACATTATGGCTCTGTAGAAATCTCCCATTTCTTCCAGGCCACACTATCCAGCCACCCCCCCCACACTGTGCCTTGGCAGGGGCTTAGGCTGGCTGTGTCACCTGCCAACAGAGCAGCCCCCTCTTCATGGACGGCATCATCCGGCACGATGGACCCTCCAAAAAACGGCCCCCACCACAGCTGATTTTGCCATGACACAGCGACTCCAGGGATGCTAGTTGACTCCACACCCAGCGCTTGGCAAGCAACGGAACCTCTCTGAACAGCAGCCACTGTCCACATTTACGGGGCATCGCGACGGGCCTGTGACCGTCCCAGATACAATTATTACAGCACCACGAGCAGTCAGCGTTTGAGCCAGAATGGTTGTTCTGACATAAGGGCTGCCATGCGCAATCTTTAGCTTAAGGCAGGGGCAAGCGCAAGCGGACTTGGACTAAAGTTTCCATTATATTGCCACAGCGGCCGATGGTACCTTAAGGCTCGTATGGAAACCCCCATCTACAGGAGAGCCAACTGCCGATCCCCCTGCAGTCCTACACCTGGCTTCCGGCGTGGCAAGTAAAACAAAAGGAGCAGCCTTTCCACTACTCTGTAAAAAGGGGGCAGTCGTGGGCACGGAGCCCGTGTCGCGGTCATCCGCTTGTCACTCGACCCCAGACTCAGAGCGGTGTCACCTACCTCCCAGCTTGTTAAGCACGCGTGTGACCGCGTTGGAGCACCCTTCACAGGTCATGTCCACAGAGAACTCGTGTTTCTGCAATGAGGAGGAGAGAACAGATTGGAGACAACCACAGAGCCCTTCTTGCTTTGTCACCAATGACCCCAATACATGGGCCAGGTGGTCTCTCCCCTGTGCTACCTGGCTCTGATCACAATTCAAACCCTGCAAGCCTACCCTTGGCATAAAACCAAGTTTTCTGCAAACTCCGGCATATCTAGTTACAACATTAGCTGATTGTTTCCTCGGGCTCCACAATCCACCTGCATCCGCCTGCTGTGTTGTCTTAGATCATTAGCTCTCTGAGGAGGGGACTGTCTTTTTCTTACTCACCTAGTGTAACTGGATCCTTCTTCATAATACTGCTAGACTTTTAAAAACATGATTAAAGGGCCCCGACTGGCATAGATGGAGTTAAAAACAATTTGGACTCTAGCTGCTACTAAGAGAGACTCTCCCAGTAACATAAAATATCTATTTCCCTGTATTGTTAATGAACACATGCAATTAGTACAACCAAAACAACCCTAATTTTCTTGTTCATTCTAACGTGGTCTAGATGCTATTCAGATGATAAAACCAATTGGTTTCATTTCACTGCTTTGTCAACACTACGGCCTGGTTGGCTCTAGAAAATTACATCAACCCTGTTACATCACTCTGGGGTGTGAAAAATCCACACCTCTGGACAAGGTGGATTAGTTACCCTGACAGTAGATTTGCTCCTGGCTGCAGAGTAGTGTCTACGCTATGGCTGCACTGCTAGAGCGTTTTAAGTACAGACAAACCCTTAGTCACTTTCTGTCCCTCTGTTTGAGTTCCCCAGGCTCCAAGGGAAGATTTTCATCCAGAAAGACAACAATTTTCGTTTCCGTTGCCATTTTAAAACTTCACCAAGGTGTGGGTGGCTGTCTGGTTTGGAAAGGATACCTCCAAATGAAAAACCTATCCTTCCGTAAAATTAGTGGATGGGAACCCCACCCCTGGAGGCAAACATATGCAGCTCCCAGCTAGCCGCAAGAGGTATATACAAATAAGGGGCACCGTGAACCAACCTGCCCCAAGGAACTTCCCATCTAAAGAGACCACCCAGGATACAGACCCTCAGGCCAGCAGAAGCAATCCCTGGCCAGCCTGAGAAGCTGCGGTGTCAATACACCAGCAGGCTCCAAGCATTTCGTAGGCGCTACAACAAACGAGCATTTTTAAGGGGAGGGGGGGATTTGGAGGAGAACCAGGGGCTAGTTTTGCAGCTGGCTGGCTTCCCCCAAGCCGGATGGCCCCCAGGTAAAGGAAACCAGGTGCCATTAAGCTGCGCTGGGGACTGTCTCCCAAGGCCTCCTCCCCCAATGGCTGCTAGGAACGAGTTCGCCGGGCCCTCCCGGCACACGCCCAGCAGCTCCCCCTGCGCCCCGGGCTCCAGCCTTCCCCGCTTTGCGCTCGGAGCGGGGCTGGACCCGGCCTGGCCGGAGGCCTGGCTCGGGGGC